TTGAGTGTATCGCCATCCGCCCAGCAGCGATGGCGATACCAGAAGAGGGTAGCATAGTCCCACAAACGCACCAAACCACACCATATTCACCGACCGCTGGCCTCCGACAATAACCTGCTGATGGCTCTCACAGCGCTTCCGCATCACTGTTTGATTGTTGATAAGAATGCCGACCAAAAAACGATTGGTAGTTAAATTGCACGGAAGGTTGTTGCACGTTTCCAATTCATTTGATATCCAATTCTTTCCCGAGTTTGCTGAGATACAGTAATCCGGCAGCTTTGGTCTCGGCACGGGCGCAATGGGAGGTGATCCGTGCCACATTGTGGTACATACGTTGTGATAGTGCTTTAGCAAAGATGATACGCAACAGTCGGCATATTTGCCGTCAAAGTGAAAAGGATCTAAGTGCTGTTACGTGAAATAGCACTTCGGTCTTTTTTTTGAATGGTAGATATGTCATGAGCTCAGGATATGTTGGGAGATTGAAAAGCGCTCATTGGATGAGCACGTTTCGCGCTACGTATTTTGAACAAGCGAACTTAGTGGCAAGTGTCGTTCCTTTCAACTCCATACCACGTATTTGCTGACGAAATTGGCGTCTTCAACGTCCGCTGACTCGAGATCGTGGCAACGTGGCTTTGTCCGTGTACCGTGTGTCTTTATAGCTCGGCTGAAAAGTGTGTCTAGATATCACTCGGCCCTTCTATTTCTTTGTACCAATTCAACTAAAACAAATATGACTAACGACTACGAGTAACTATCACGCTATCAAAAGATGGTCTTCAGTGGGCAGTGGGTGGTGAGGAATTCAGGAATTAGCAAATACTTGCACTTGGGCAAGATAGCATACCAGCCGGACAGTGACCAGGGCCTGAAAATGAGTGAAGAATAGAAAACAATTGGTCAGCAGTTGAATGCCGAATGCTTCAACGTATTTTTGTGGCGTTTAAAATATCGGTAATGCTACAATTGTTCCACCCCGTTGTAAATAATGACATCCTCCCTTCACCCAAGTGAAAAGCAATTTCAGGAACTGAGCTGATGGTTGCGTATGCGAATATGGGTGGAAGGTCTTTGTTGGCTTTTCCTCGGCTATCGCCCCTTCCCCCCTCCCCCCCCCCCCCCAAGGTAATGGAAGCGATAGAGAAGTGGCCGCCCTGCCTAGGATCGGATCAGCGCCGGGCAGGATCACTCTGCCCGCCTACCTGTGCCCGGGGATCGGTTATGGATAAGGCCTGCCGTTATATGGATCCTTTGGTACGAATGCCTAGTACGAGAGCACCACTTCGCTCTGAGCCGTCGGGGCAGTCGACTGACCTCCGGCTAAAAGAAGTTGGTGTAGGCCTCTGCATGTGTGCGAGCTATGGCAGGCATCCTGACAGCAAGTGCGTGGTTATAACCGTCTAACAAGGATGTCCACAATGGAAGCTTTGCCTGCACAGTGCAGTGTATGCGCACGATGCTGATCGTGGCTCATCTCATCTGTAACATTCTGCGCGAGGACAGCCATGCACCGCATGTGTCGACTACGTGAGGTGCTGGGACATCATTTTCGTTCAACGGGATTGTGTTGTTCGCCTACCAGTTATCCAGTGAACATTAGCTTCGCTGGACGTAGTTCTAACCAACTCTCCGGACCATATCCAACACACGGATATCGTGCCCAGCCACTGCAGTGATTATCACTCGGACACTTTTAACATTGAATGTAAAGCGTAACAGTTGAACGCAAAAAAGAACGAAAGAAACAAAGAAATAGCACGCACAACTTTCGCCGACGAACACTGATATGCTTTCACAGGGCCTGGCCACAGACGACTGGAGCGCTGTCCTGATGCCCTTTTCACCTCGTGAACGGTGGGATTTGCTCCTGACCATTGCGAAACCCCTGCTTGGCAAGCGTATGCCATATCAGGAAGTCCAGATGCACAACCCGACAGCTCTCCCGGTGTGAAACGCGGTTAAAGCGCTCGTGGCACAACACTGTGCTATTCGTCACACCGACGCGATGTATAGACAAGCGGCTATTGGAAGCGAACTGCCACATGATGCGATCGCTGCGAAGACATCTTAAGAAGCATAGCGACGGCGAGGCCTGGAAGCGAACACTGCGTTATCCGTAGCATTGTTGGTGGCAAGGGACCATCGCCAGCAAAGCCCCTAGATAAGCTGGCAAACCCGACCAACAAATTGGTCGCTTACATCAGGAGGAGGACCTCTGACGAAGTATTGTCAGCGACTCCGCTAGGTGCACGACAATGTCGTGTTACACAAGTGCGCGGCGGTTCCTTTGCCTGAATGACAGACTGAATGACAGCTGTCGCGACCGCTGTCATCCTGACAACCGTCGTCGTCATGACGACAGCAAGCCTGCATAAGGCCATTGTCAAAAGTGTTGCCGGTTAGAGGCACCACCTGAGGCTTTTAGCCGGTGTCACAACATTAGTGCGTCGGCAAAAAAGCTCCCACCGACAGGAGTGCTACGACATCAGTTACACGCGGCATTACCTATGTTGCAAAAAATATGCAGGTTTTACTCATCCGTGACATTACTTCTACTCCAAAAACTCATAAACGACATGAGTGCTACGCGACAAAGCTTATACTGCAGGAAAAAGCTTATAACCGTCATTACTTATGCAGCAAAGACTTTACAGTCTTTACTCATACGCGACATTATATCTACTGTAAATATTCATGGACGACATAGTGCTACATGACAAAACTTGCGCAACAAAAACATATACCAATTCTTACTTCTTCTAGAGAGCTTATACAATATTTACTTATGCGTGACATTATTTTAACTACAACGAGTTATAACTAATATTTTTGAAGTATACGTTTTGTCATGTAGCACTAATTTGTTATATGCCTTTGCAGTAGAAGTAACGCCGTGTATAAGCAGCGACTGCACAAGTTCTTCACTAGAGGCCATGACAGGTATCAGTTTTTGAAGCACGCGTTTTGTCGTGTTGTATTATTGTCGCGTATAAAACTTTGCAGCAAAAGTTGAATCGTGCTCAAGTAATGACTATAAATGTTTTTGAAGTAAAGGTAATGAAATTGTTTATTTTTGCAGCACAAGCTTTGTTAAGTGACACTAATGCCGTGTGAAAGTATTGATAGTAGAAGTAATGACGTGGCATTCCTGTTGATAGGAGTTTTTGTTATAGCAATAATGTTGTGGAAGCGCTTTAACCCTGACATTGCGGACCTACGGGCTTTGAAGGGCCACCTACTGGCATAAATGACGTCAGTACAAATAAGCGTTTATGATTGGCAAAGTGAGCGGCGAGGGCCAATTACCGAGAAGCGTATTGGTTGAAGGTTTGAACCAGTGCGTTCCTGTAGACCAAGTGATACTTCTTTTCACTAAAGTGCGCCTTGACAACAGACATTGTGGTAAATGCCAGAACCATAGTAAAACGTTTCGTTGAATACGAGGGACGATAGTCTCATGGTTGCATATCTTTTCACTATATATTTCATATCTAATCACTTTAAATGTGATTAAAGCCTTCATAGCATACATTATACGAATATTTCCACAAATTAGTGTGTTACAAACATAACAGAACACACACGTTGGAGAAAGAAAGGCAAAGCAAATGTGCTTCTATCGTACTTTTGAGCAAAGCGTCAAATGATATTTTTCTCGCATGGTCGGGCACTTATAAAGAAATTCTGAGCTTTTCGGAGGGATCTCGAGAAAGCTGGCATTTTTTATCAAATCGTACGCGCCTGATGGAAAAGTTAGCGAAACGTACACAAAGGTGAGATGCTCCATTTAAAGGGATTTCTCCATCCACATTTGTATGCTCCATCCACATTTATATGAGGTGTTTATCACACTCCTCAAACTTGCCTGAATCACGGTGGTCCGGCTTCCAGACTGGCATTGTAGTTCTGTAGCGCCTCGGTCCGGTCCGGAGGACCATTTTGTTCGGTATCGTTCGATCGTTCGTCAACAGGCATCCGTAGGCTGATGCTGTATTTTGAGGTTTGGGTATCGGGCCGGGAAGAGGTTATGCGCTTCCTCTCCCTGGCGACGCTCGCGAGACGACTGCCCGGTTACCGGGCGGCGCGGCCCCGCACAGAACAAGACGCAAGTGGTGCAGTTTCCGGGCTGGCCGTAGGGCCGGGATCTCAGGGACGGTAAACTAAACAAAACATGAATCTAAGGGGAAACTCGACAGGGGACCGAGAATGGAGAAAACAGAATCTCGGAAACAGGACAGCAAAGCCGACATTTCACAAAAAGGAAACCATGTAAAGGCAGATTTGAACTGAATTAGCCATATGAATACCTTTCCGCGCTGTTCGCAATCCTGCCCTCCCTACGACCTAAGCCCTCTAATTTTTGAGCTGCACGCCTGTGAAAATGGGGAAACGTATATCAGGTAGAATATTTTAAGGTCACCTTGACATTCATGGCTTTATAATAACGTCATCCAAATCCTGCCATTAAATGAGCCAGGCGACGACCAAAGCCAAGAAAGATATACTCGTCGAGGCGCTCATATCTGGCGTTCGTGAGCGCAATTTCTAGATATCACGGCCGTCAAATGGTGCTCAATATTGTGCAGGGTACGATGACGTAATTAAACTGCGACGGATTGAAAACATATTTGCTGAACAGAGAATTGTGCTGTCTAGAGCAGTATTTTCCACCTAAAAAGTGTACTTACAGTTAAAAGTGAACTCGTTTCATCATATCTGATGCTTGCTTCAATACCTTCAAATGTGACACATTCCCTTTAATGGTCACGGCGAAATGCTGCGGAACACGGCGCGCTCGGCGCCACTGGGCAGCAGCCGTAACCTCCTATATGGACGGCTCTGTACGCTCAATGGGATTACCATGGCCGAACGGCCCACCCTACGCCCACGCCACTGCCGACCCTGATCTGCAATCTGAATACCGAGGGCGCCCCACGGTGTCGCTCCATCATTCCCCTCCCCTCCCCCAGCTGGTCTGCGCCGACCGCGCCGCGGGCCGGCGGCAGTGCGTCAGTGGATGTTGGGGCGTGGTGGAGGTAGGAGCGCTTTCGTCCCAACAAGGGAGCAGATCCGCAGACAGGTGAGCGCTGGCCGTTCAACCTCGAGCGCCGGTCGGGGTCTAGCCGTAGCTCCTGCTGTTTCACGAACCTGTCTGATCGCACAAAGGCTTCATTTTGTTGGTGCTGGGAAAGCGTGGTATGGAAAGTTTATTCAGTAACGTGGTATAAAGTTAAGTCAACCTGGACCAAATTGCATGCGAGCTACAGATGTCTGTCGATACGGGTACCCAAACCGACTGTATCTCTGTTCATGCCGTATTAAACGCTGTAACAAGAAGCAACTCGCAGCCATTATCGACTGGTGAGCCACGCCCCATGTAAAGACTTAAGGCACTGGTATCCCGAGTGGGATATCACCGCATGCGAGATGCCGATGATCGACGAGCGCTTTGGTCTCTTGTTGGCACAGCGCTATCTGCTTTATGAGCGAGTGGCCACCGCCCGCTCATATGGCTGATTTTGTTCCTAACTATCCATGCAGCTGTGGCGTCGGGGTTGGTCCCGCATTACAAACTGATCCTGTTTTCAGGCCGTGCCCCGGGCAGATCCACGACAGTGCTCGTGATCTGCTGTGCTTTGGTCGCTATGGCAACCTGCTTAAGTATCGACCCTCCAGACATTGAGGTAATGTGTCATATTCAACCTGGCCCAGTTATGTGTTCTGGGGTGAAGGGCTTAATTGATTGGGGTCTTGACGAGGCTCTTAGCGGCTGATTCTAAATGGCGTGGCCTGCCTCTCACCCTGGCGTGGAGTACGGGCCCCACGAGAATTAAACTTCGTATCTCTAGCTTCCCAGGCGCTCGGGGAATGAGACCACTTAGCCACCGGCACAGAGCTGTGAACGACTAGATTAAGATATGTCATGACGTCGTGATTAATACACGTGCATCCCAGGCAGCAATCACGGTGGCCGTCATAGACCTGAATAATAAAAACCCGTGAACAGGAAATACAGCGAGGCTCCCCAGACGGTGGTACCGCCGCACCCGAACAGTTTGAGTGCCACTGGCGGGGGGAAGAGGGGAGGGAGGTCCGAGGCAGATTGGTACTGTTTAGCTGGTGACCTCCTGCTAACGAGCGTGTTGGCGCTGGCGGAAGGGCTGGTTTGAAAGGCACCTTACTTGCTATATGGGCTCGGAGAAGACGCTCTCAATTGGCGTTTTCAATTGGGAATCGGAACATGTTTAACAATGGACATCGTACCTTTCGGAATGGGCCGCAGATGACTGTCGAACACAGTACCCACGTCTTCACTTTTGCGGGATAGAATAGCACAGTGGCAACATTCAGCACAGGACATGTTTTATCGTATTTATTATCTGACGTGATGTTTGCTGGTTCTTTCATCGATGAAGCAATCGAGAGATGCATTAAAATATTCCCTGTCTTGTCTTTTCGAATTAAACTATTCGGGCAAGGTACCCTTTGACCCAGCTCTTCCGCAATTCCATGAAAACATCAGAGGCGCATGCGCATACTAACCTTTGTAATAAAGGGTGGGAAAGTACCAGTTCCCGACGCGTGGTCATTTTCTTCCGGTCGTTGACGCCGCAGAGTATTCCCTTCGGTATCGACGCCGCCAGGCTCATGAAGATTGCAACGCTGAGCTTCGATGTGTTTTCTCCTTGGCGTGCTGAAAGTTAACACGCGCCGAGTGGCCGGTTGGATACCTTTCGCTCGGGTGGCGGTGGGGGAGGGGTCAATATGACCCCCACTGAGATCTCATGAACCAAAAGGGCTAGAGATACCAAATTCGCAGGGTGTATTGGCCTGTACCTGAACTCACTTAGGTCAAAGTCTGAGGTTCCTAGATCATGGCCTTGGGACCAAATGAGGTCAAACAAGGTCAAACTCCAAGTTGCGTCTCCAAAGTGTCCCCAGAACCTATAAAATTGTTCTAAGCAAAAGGTCACATGCTCATTCAAGGTCAAGGACTTCGTTTGACCTTTCGAAGGTCATTGTTACCAAAATCATAGAAGACCCCTTTGAATTTTGCATTTGAATGAACGTCGAAGATTATGCTAAGCGATGTGTTCCTGAAACGAAATATTGACCAGGGTCGTTTTAGGTCAGCGACCTATTCTGACGCATAAGAAGCCTATGGAAGATGTCTACTGCGGTTCCCGTTATCAATGAATTCGAAATATGCACCAGAAACTACCTCACACCGCAAACCCTAGAGTAGTAGAATGGGTTGGTTTTGACCTAAGCCTGGCCTTCATATCTGATTCTTGGTCAATAGACTTTTGTCATTCAATTGTTGAGTTGCCTAACAAAATATCTCCGAGATGTATGGTTTCGTCGAACACTCCGTTGTTCCATCAGATTGAACGATTCCCTAGAAATTGGCTTTGCTGAATCGATGGCTTTACTTCAACCTGCCATAGATTGGCGACCTTATAAGCCACATCTACATTTTTGATCCCACAGAATCTGTTATTCAACTGTCTGCAGCTTTGCAAAAGTTGGCGCGGCCGCAGCTACACCGCGTCGCTTGGAAATAATTCCAGGAAAACCCCCCACCCGAGCGCGTGTTAATTTATGCAATTTTTCGCTGACGACTTTCAGAAATGATGATTTGCCCCAGTTCAACATGGGCCGAGATTATAAATGCAAATTTTGGTCTGTGTTTCTATTTACGCTTTTCTAAGCGACGTGGACCTCGTATCTTTTAAAAACCACGAGAAAGTCTGGTAACGCCCTTAACTATCGTAAAGTTATCGAAAGGTCCGAATACAGCTTTGTGCAGGAAAAAGCTGCTTCGGTTTATTCGATGTCGATTGCAACCACTCAACTATTGGGCGATATGATTTTATTTAGTTTTAGCATAATGCATAATTAACAGTTGAATACGTTCGTAATCGGACAAATACAAGGGATGAGGGGGGGGGGATGGAAGTGTAAAGATGAGGGTATGACGGGAGTGTAAGGATGAGGGCATGGCGGGAGTGTAAGGATGATGGCATGTCGGGAGTGTAAGGATGAAGGCAGGGTGGGAGTGTAAGGATGAGGGCATGGCGGAAGTGTAAGGATGATGGCATGGCGGGAGTGTAAGGATGAGAGCAGGGCGGGAGTGTAAGGATTAGAGCAGGGCAGGAGTGTAAGGAAGAGAGCAGGGCGGGAGTGTAAGGATGAGAGCGGGGTGAGAGTGTAAAGGTGAGGGCAGAGTGAGAGTGTAAGGGTGAGGGCAGTGGAGAGTGTAAGGCAAGCAAACCTGCCAGTGATACGCACATATGGAGCCGACGATGTACACACAAACGCTTGACGCGTAAATAGGTCGCTCCCGCAAACAGAACACAGCGGCAAGACTAATCACCGGTACGCTCCACAGAATACACACTCGCGCACTGCTGGACGACTTGAGACGGAACACTCAAATCACGAAGAAACATGCACAAACTCATGCTGTTCCACACCCTCATCCGCAACCAACATCAACTGCCAACAAACGTCACTGCACTTCTACCTGGCACATGAGCACTCGCAACAGGACGCCCACTACGCAATGTTATGACACTCACATTACCACCGAACAGAACCTCAGCATGCCAAATATTTCACTCCATCAACTAGGAGAAGATGGAACCAACTCCCGTTTGAGGTGTCATCTCTCCAGTCCTCTCGTTCCTTCAAACAGGAAATATGCCAGCACTGCAGTATGACCGCGCCTCTGGTGTATCACAGTTTTGGATCCAGGCACGGTAACATCCTAAGTACTAGGCCGAACTTGGGAATGTTAGACCTTAATGCTCACATGTTTGAAGTTCAAAATCAAACCACAACTCCTCATGAAGACCATAAACACTTTGTACTGAACTATCGTCGCTATCATGAAATCAGAATTTCGATGCTACGTAAAGCAGACCGCATCGTCCCAAACTTTTCTGAGCTCACTCACAACGGGCAACTAAGTATCCATCTCAGAGGTAACAGTTCACAAGATTGCACTGGGTAGTAGATGGCAAAAATTTTCCAAGTATTTCTTTCTCAGACCAAGCGATTCACCTAAAAACTTCCAGCGGGCGCGCGCAGCAGACAGGCCACTGGGTGGCGTTGTCGGACTGGGCGTCCGCCGCCGGCCCGGAATGACCACATGTGTAAACCTGAGCGGCGGCGGACGCCTGGCCCGTGTCGGCTTGCAGATCTGGCGAGTGGGCGGTGGGTCGTGGGCTCCCTGGCGACGATGACCATATCTTGTTATTATTAGAAGGGGCATTCAGATTTAAACGCTCCGCTTATGCGCAAATCCACTCATCGTATTATGCACTGTTTCATGTCCATAATCGAAAATAAACATCAAACATCAAACACCCCGCTTTGGCTCCAGGAAAAAGGCTTGATTATTCGAACTGATAATTATGCTCCACAGTTCAACAGCCGAGGAGTACGAAATGTGAACAAGTAACCCGCGCATATGCATATGAATATGTACATGCATGGTGACAAGCCATTTAAGTCACTATTTTGAGATACGCCAGAGAAATGCATCCTCCGTATAACAAAACTGTGTGTGTCCCTTGCCACTTGCCTCTTAACAAATGTGGTTGGTTACCGACGGGACCAAACATATGCGGGTGCATGGTACACGCCTTGGTTCCTGACCTTAAATCTTTGGGTATCTCTTCACCGTAAGAGCGACCTAGGGTTTCGCCAGGGCACAGACGTGTTTCATCTGATTTGGGTGTCCCTTGAAATTGAAACTGTCGGTGTTCCTTACATAATCCTTTTTGAGATTTGATGCCTATTAAAAATAAATGTTATGGCGCTCCAAAATTACAATTTTAGTGATGCATCGCTGGATGGGTCGGTCTCGGACTTCACCAGTGAGGATGTGCAAACATTGCGGTGCCCCCTGGAATTTTTTGTCTCCCTTGCAAATGAATGTTTTAGGGCTCTTTGTGGCGCCACTTTGTGGTGTTTCTGCGGTGGGTGCTCGTGCGCTACGCTGCTACCGGGCCGTCGCTGGATGTTTGTGCGCCGCCAGCTGCTGCCGTCACGCCTCCTGCAAGAGCGAATTTATACTGAGGAGCCCATTGGTCAGCGCGCGAGCCAGATGACGTCAGCGCGCGACTCGGCACGTTATGACCTCTGGTACGCCCGACATCAACACACACTCATGTGGGCCACAGAGCTAGGACGAAGCGAGTGACCGGGGCATTGGCGGGTGGAAAACGGTACCCCACCTCCACCTTTTTGACCTCTGATAATATCTAAACGGGGCAAAAACGAAACCGGATACACTGATAATACGCCCAACTGGCAGGGGTCCCACGCAACTGGCGAATGATATTGGCAAGGACCCGCTGGATAGCAACCCTGGCAGCCCCCTCGGCCTTGGCTTATCCACGCAGACTCCGCACAGACTCCGCACACTCGGCGCCCCACCGCTCACTCCAAGCATACATATACGCTATACGCTCGCGCCCACGTCGCTCTACTCATTCTTGGCTCGCACACGGATGGGATCCCCCCCCCCCTTTTTGTCCAGCACCTTGGCATTATATTGGCTCGTAGACTTAAATTTATTTATTATGTTTCAAACATTTAATACAGCCACGTTTGAGCCCCGCCTAAAATGTGTCACGATAACTTGTCAGCTCGACACCGGCGCAACTACTGGGCCGACATCAGGTGTCCGAAGCTGGACGGCGACTCGTTCCCTCGCCTGACCCCAGGGTGACGGCTCCCTTTTCGGACGACGCTTCCCGCGCTCCGTCCACGGAGGGCGGCCCATCATTCATTTGGCCACGCCCACCGTTCGCAGCTATCCGCTGCCACGCACGCGCCTTAGGCAGCGCCTCGTCCAGCATGGAGGCGTCGCCTCCGGCACTTCAGCGCCCTCGCCTTCCGCCTACCAGAGCGGGCGTTGCAAGGCACCGCCCCACGGTGCGTCGCTCAGGGGCCTGGAGGTAGACAGCGCGTCCGATGGGACGGTGGAGCTCCTCAGCGGACGACGGACGCCCGGCGTGACCCGCGTTTACGCCTTATGGTCTCTGCAGCCGCCGCGCTCTTGAGACTTGGCCTGATCGGCCTGTCCGGCGACCTGGTTCCTCGTCGCCCTTCCTATGAGCGTCGATGGCGAGATCTCTCTCCGTTCTGAACATCCCGCCATCAAGCACTCGTAGGGCCTGGCGTACACCACGTCAGAAGAGAGCAGGCTGTGTCCTGTTCTCTCCCATGACGTGGTACACCAACGGAAAGATCCAGCTACCGCCGTGTACAATCCGGCATCTCGGGTGGTCCCCTTTGGTCCTGGGTCATATCATGACCTATGCCTCTTGGTGCCGTCACTCCTGGGGTCAAGTGAGAAACAACAAAACGAGTCAGCCGTCTCTCAGTAAAATATAAAAGCGAGACCGTGCCTTGAGTCACGCTGCCCCCAAACGTCCCTGTGCGTAAAAGCAGGACCGCGGTCGTCTGACTCCTCGACCCTGCCATAGCCAGGCCGTGCTGCTCGGGTGCGTTCCACGCCTACCACTCTGGTTACGATCCCTGCGTGACTCGATCTTTTGGAAAAAAGGGACAGCATACTGCGTACCAGACGAAAATCTGACAGCCCAGCGGAAGTTGACAACGTCGATTCAAAACCAAAATGTTCTGCTTAAACAAGGCAATTAACCACTAAACCCCTCCCCCCAAAAAAACAACAGCGAACAGAAAAACAAAGTACATGCGCATGAATACCATGCAAAATCAGTTAATAAATCTGGTCGGGCCAGCGATAAAGTAAAGGCAGCGCGCGCATGATGAATTGTTGCGGGTATGCTGCATAGAGTTCGGGAACAGTAAGACCTCCCCAAGCAGTCGGAAAACAAATTAAGAAAATGAAAAAGTCAAACCGTCCAGCTTGCCAACAGATTAACGTCACAGCAAAAAGAAAACCTTCGTGGGTATGGCGGTGGGGTCCATACAGCGCGCCTGACCGCGACACGGGAAAGACGAGAGCCATGACGAGCCGCTGCGCCTCCCCGGGGCCGCCTCCAACGACAAAATCAAGATAGCCCCGGTGCGGCCTAACGGGCGACTTGTCGCGCCGAAGCGCGTGTTTACGGCCTCTGTCATCACGCCCACCCACGCTGGGCGCGAGAGTCCTGTCGCCGCTTGATGTACAAAAAAAGAAGACACAAGACAGAGGCGAATCACGTGATACGTCACGCCCCTCTCCCCCCCCCCCTTTCTTATAGGAGTGAGCCCGAGACACATTCCCCGGCCGGGAGACTTGCATAGCTAGTGCCCCCCCCCCCCCCCCTCTCTCCTTAACTACACGGGAGGGACGGTGGCCGTGGCCCGCGCTCGCCCGGTGGGGAGGGGCCAAGGGCCACGGGAGCACCAGCCGTCCATGGCACGGCAAGGATTGGGACAGCAGCCTGTGGACTCACACGTGCATGTTTTCGCCGTTGTCCCGTTGTCCGCGGGGCCAGACGTTGCCGCCTGGCTGTTACCACCACTTCTTCGCACTCCTCACTCCCCCGTACTCCCCGGGAGACTCCACCCTCAAACGCCTCCCCTAGACTCTCCCGTAAGACTCCTCTCTGCCCCAGCGCCTCCTTAGGACTCCGTCGAAAGATTCACGCGCCTTTACCGGACTCTCCACATTGACTCCTCCTGCGAGACTCCCTGGTAGCTTTTTTGGTAGACCCTTACAGCTCGGTCGGCCCACCTTCGCTTTTGCACATGAACCAGTAGATTTGCCGCCTCGCCCCCTCCGTCCTCCAGAGTTCGGCCCTCAACGTGCCCCTGGGCCAGATCTCGGGCGTGGCGTCGCTGGCGACGACGCAAGGCCCGCCCGCTCTCGCCTCGGGGCCAGTTCCCACGTGGCGTGGCGTGTTTGACGCCAGCTGGGGTGACGGCGGGGGGGGGGGGGGCGGGGGGGGGGAGGGGCGGCGCGGCAGGGTTTTGAGGCGAAGCGGCAAACATCCTCACAACAACGTGGCAGTTAAACATTTTTTGCGCAAACTGCGTCGCCGGTGATCTGGCTTTTGCGTCCATTAATCTGATCGGCCGGCGGAGGGCAGGCGTTCCCCTCTGGCGTGATGACCCATTTCGGTAGAAGATGCCACCGTCATGGCCGTTCCGTTCGTTCGTCGTTCGTTCCGGAGGGAACACGTGGCGTCGCTTTGTTGATGCGGGCTGCCCGCCTGGAGCGTCGGACGGGTCCGCTCACAGGCCCCGCTCTGCCTAATGGTCGTGTTTGGTTAGTTGGTGGATCACTGGCCGTGGCCAGCTTGCTCGCTGTCCCACGCTCCGTTGGGGAAGACTCACCGGTCCCGAACGGATGACGCACAAAGGGGAAAGTAAGACAATGTGTGCCTACACAGCGTATAATTGGGAGTCTCTTAAAATATGCTATGATATATCGCAATTAACTTTTTTGATGTCTCTGCCCAAAACGTTTATTTAAAGGCGCTCAGGGTAGAAAGCAAAGAAATCGTGTTATCCGTTAAAGAATGAAGGCCTCGACCCCTTTCAATGGCTCTCTTGGGCTTGTTTTTCCAGAAAAAAATTCTTCCCTTCACCACTTATACACACTTATATACACTTCCCTACACCAGAAGCAATCTGGGAAGGGTCACGTTCGGGCGTGATAAAACTATGAAGCGAATAATTATCCCTCTGGTAATCATCTGCGGAAATGTTTTCATTAACGTTCGGTAGGCTCTGAAATTACCGACTGGTTTCCTCACGGGTCGTCATGCATAGTAAATGGTCATAGCTAGACATGGCGAAGAACAAAGTCCCCGCTTGACCAAGCTCTGAAAGTTAGTTGAATTTGCCCTCGTTATGGGCGATTATCGGCGATAACTCTCCGTTTTTGCTGTGTCAAATGCTATTCCGAAACAAATTCAACGTCCTGCATAATTATCCAAGATAAGCTGCCGGCTAAGTGCTGCTCGCACTTTAAACTCGATGTAAGTGACTGTGTTCCCGTTTGCATAGTGGTTTGGACTATTGCCCCCGTCTGGTGTGTTAGACTACACAAACTAACATACCAGACAAGGACTGCGCAATGGCCGCAGTCGGGCTATTCGAAATTTGCTGTCAGTGCTGACAGGTTCCCGTATCGGAAGAACGTTGGCTGACGCCAATAGCACGTTCACGATATGAACGGTGAATTAGTGGCGAAAAACGTTTTAGGTCACACGATAAGCTTGTGCCGCCAGCACAAATTTTGGGCGCTTGAAATATCCAATTAATGGAAGCGAAGTTGAGGACACAAAGGATACCAATCAATGTAAATCGAAATTCCTCTTAATCTCACGAGCACATTAAAAAATCCCAATTGGACTAGACACACCCTTTAACACGCCCGGCGCACAGAGCCTCGATCGGGAGATGAGCAACAGGCGATCTCAAATCAGTCAGTCTCCCGCAAATCAAACCTCTGGCAGCGTCGTGTTTGTATTCGAATCGGGGGGAGGGGGGGGGGGGGAATTCTGGCGACCCAACACCTCGAAGCGGTTGGAATATTTGGTGCTGGGAGCTGCTGTAGACAACAATGTTAGAGCGGTTAAGTTCTGCACTGGATTTTTTTTTTTCAATGCACGGCATGTCATGACACGAGCTGGAAAACTGTACAAAAGTCCCCATGAACTCATCTAACCTGTGTGCCGTCTGTTGCCTGTTGCCGTAGCGATAGTATACACTGTTGTGTTCCTCATATTCATAGTTGTTGAAGTAATGCGATGCGCCAAGTACCATCGCATACCCCACGCGGTAGCAACTGTTGTGGTCGGAGATGATAAAGTGCTTGTTGGACCTGATTTATCAGTAACTATCTTTACACGGTCGGTCTTTTCCACAGGGTCTTTACTTTACAGAGACTCTGATGGTGTTTGAATTTTTAGAGGTCACTTCCCGAGAAGCTATCAGGTACACCACACGTGATCTTAGGTTAACTTTTTTTACCTCTGGAAGTAGGAAACTGGACTCGCTTCGAAAAGGCTCATGACCTTTGGTACACGTGGCTTGACGGGTGCCCTGTAACACTGAAGTACTTTGAACGGTACCCAGCACACATTTTGGTTCGTTTGTGAATGGATACTTGGCAATATTGGCAGTATTGTGGTGATATTGTCAGGTTGTGCGGTCGGTTTATTTGTGACGCACGATTCCGTGTTCTATATGAAGGTACACAAGTAAGTGGGTAAACGCACACAAAAGACACTCAACTGAACTTTATGTAAAATAACCGCACAGACCGTCATCTCACGCACGTATCATATACTGACCTTAAGCGACATGTCAGTTTGTGCAGCTCAGGTTGTCGGATGTGCATCGTTTGTTGTCTTATTCAAGCTCGGTAGTGTGTGTTTCATGTGAATATTTTGCTGCGTGAGCATTCTTAGTTTAACTCGGAGGTCTCAGGTACAACGGATTTCTTTACTCTTCTCGTTACTTCCACGTGCTATTAACCTGGAAACGTTCGTTTTCAACAAGCAGTGATACGACAACATGAGCTTGGCGGTGTCTGTGTCATGATGTGCTCCAGCCTCAACTCCTGCACAGACGAGCGGTTACCTATCTCACACTGTCATGCTGGTCTTCAGGCGCTTCTGGCCCTCAACCCTCGTATCAAGCCGTACGCCAGCCTGGTACCCTCGGCCCAGACCAAGAAGAACAAGAAGCAATGGAAGCGCAACACTGACAAGAAGTGCGGGGTAAGTGCAGTTGCTCGTCGAAAGCCTTACTGTTAAAGTTCAGATGAGACCAGCCTCGCTTTGCACACATGAGCCCTCTAAGCCACCTGAGCCACCGGAGCTAACCAACCGTTTTAAACCATTCAAGGTAAGGCTGCTATGACGCGCTCGCAGGCTGGAAACGGGTCTCGGCCAGCCTTATTGGATCACGTTTTGAAAGCAACTTCCACTGCTGTGGGATTAATTTAATCCATGTGCATTGCTGTTCGTTGGGTTGATGGTGCCTTCATAAATGTACAAGGCTGTAGATTTAATTTACTAGGCAAGCGATTCTACAAGGCTCGCAAGCTGAAATAAACTTCATTTTTGCGTTAACACGCGCCTGGGTGGCCGGCTAGATACCCTTCGCTTGGGTCGGGGGTTCAATTTGACCCCCTGAAATCTCAAGAACTAAGAGAGCTAGATACACCAAATGTATAGGGTGTGTTGACCTGTACGTGAACTCACTTAGGTCAAAGTGTGAGATTCCTAGGTCATGACCTTCGGATCTAATAAGGTCAAGCAAGGTCAAATTCCAGGTCAGTCTCCAAAGTGCCCCCAGAACCTAGGTAACTGTTTCTAAGCAAAAGATCGCATGCTCGGTTAAGGTCATTGACCTTGTTTGACCTATTTGAAGATCATGGTGACCAAAAAAATACAAGGCTACTCTGGGTCACTTATTTGAATAAGTGACAAAGATTACGCCAACGAGTATGCTCCCAGAAAAAAAATGCTGACCTGGGTCATTTTAGGTCAATGACCTATACTGAACTCCAAAAAGTCCATGGAAGATAAATGATGCAGTTCCTGCTATCAATAAATTCGACATGAGCACCAGAAACTATCTTATACAGCAAGCTCTAGAGTAATAAAGCAGGTTGTTTTTTACCTTGGTGTGCCCTTTATACCAGACCTTAGGTCAACGTAATTTGCTCATTCAATATTTGTGTTGCCCCAGAAAGCATCTCAGAGATGTATGAGATCGTCTAACACTCCGTTGTTGCATCAGATTGAACGATTCCCTAGAAATTGACTTTGCTGAAACCATGGCCTGACTTTGACCTGTCATTGGTCAGCGACCTTACAAAGTACATCTAAATTTCCCATGCCAAACGATCCGTTATTCAATTGTCTACAACTAGGCATAATCTGAAGCCGCTGCGCCGCGCCATTCGGAAACCATTTTGGAAAAACATTCGGGGGTCAATTTGACCCCCACCAGTGCAAGATCATGCTTGTGTTTGTGTTTGAACTTTATCACCTTGACCCATGGTCTGATGCGTCAGTGGCAGCGCGCGAAGGTGTCAATTAGGTACCCAATGGGCGTTTTTGTTGCTTTGTTTCTTGTCGCAACCAGAATCTCTGTACCTGCAAAATTGTAGCCTATGGTGGAATAATGTCATAATGTAATGTCATAGCTAAGTTTAGTCGTATGCATATGCTAATGCCAAACTAAGGATAGCCTTTCTTTATGGGTTGGTTTACCACTGTGACCAGGGCCAACATTTTTAAAATATGTTTTTGTCGTCTTATGCATGGCTGTAACCAGGTCTCTACGATGGTTTAGGGGGGGGGGGGGACGCGTGTTGGAGAGTTCAGCTGGAATCTGAGGAGACATGGATTGACAGAAAGTTGTAATTTCAGCTGGAAAACTATAAAAACGTGCATTCCCCAGACAAGCAAAATCCAACTGCGTAAAATTGGGGAAACATATCCCTAACTTTCCCCACTATCCGCAGTGGTTACGCTCTTGGTCCTGAGTGTGCAAATCAACATGTACATTTACTTGCGTTAGATGGGTCAATAGGCAAACATGGGGCAGGCCCAAGTTATGTTAGTACACCGTCCTCTAATTCAATGCAGCTGGGTCAAAATACACCACTTGATAACACATGCAATTTAGAAATGTGCACTGCGCCCCCCCCCCCCCCCCCCACCCAACCTCCGATTTCTGCGCCCTTGGATCGCTTTGTTGAGCCGCCATTATATGCATTGCACAGGCCCTTTATTCATAACTTCATTAGCTACTTTGCTGGTGCTGCATTGTGTAGAAGCATCCTTTTTGCCAATATGTCGTTCTTTCCTCTCCGTTAACCTCAAATTCACCACTTTTCGCGGAATATGGTCGCATTTTGGAAGCTATTTGGATGGAGGGCTGCATGGTTACACGGCAAACTGTGGGCGAGCCAGCCTCCTCGTTCCGAACAATGCACATTCCATGGTGAGCCGTACGACCAAAGGGGGTGTTCAATGCACTCAATTTCCACGCAAGTACACCACAACGTGGCTCCACCAATATTAACCGAAGTGAATGTATCTCACCGGTGCAAAAAATCCCCTTGCTTCTGATGGAAACACAACTGACGTCAGTGCTCAGCTGTGCAGTCAAGTGAGTGAGTGAGTGGTGGGTGGTGAGTGGTGAGTGGTGAGTGGTGAGTGGTGAGTAGTGAGCGGTAAGCGGCAAGTGGTGAATAGTAAGTGGAGAGAGAGAGAGAGAGGGGGGGTGGGCACTCTCAAAGGTGTGCATCAACATCGTTTTTGACACAGTCAACACACAATTGGGCGGAAGACAAATATACTTCGCAGATTGGTACTCGAGAGGAATTCGATACGCGGGTGTATTGGTGAGAGATGGTTCGCTGATGTCCTTTGCTCAGATTCGAGAGGGTCATCCCGGGTGGAAGTTACCGAGTATGACCTCTCGGTATGACTGCGAGTAATACATGCCATTCCAGGTGACTGGAAAAGAGTATTGAGATAGTCAAGACAGTTTGAGCTATGAACAGAAGCCATAAATAGAGATGCTGTGATAGAGTTGTCCGATGTCAGTGCAGTGACCACTACAAAGATATCTTAGGAAACAAATTGAAATTAGCTAGCAACTTTATCGTGAGCAGCTCCCAAACCAGTGAAACCTTATTGTCAAACAATGCAGGCTCAGGGAAAATTAAGTGTCCCTAAAAAATAGGCGCATATATATATATATATATATATATATATATATATATATATATATATATGTATATACATATTACATATCGAAGGATAAATATCGAAGGATATATTACATGATGTGTGCTTCCACCAAGCTCCAAGCGCTACCATACGGAATACTGAGCAGGCACACACCGACACAAAGATCATTATGTAGTGGGATACTAGTGGATTCGCCGATACGTCGATTCTACACTCAACAAGGCAGCATCAATCGCTTTCTGGTAGCATGCACAACCATGACATATTTTGGGCGGTATTTTGTGGAAGTGCTAAACAGATTCAAGAAACAAAATGAGAACCGTTTGAGATTGTGGGCTGAGCATACACTGTTTGGGTGCCTTGAGTTTCAAATATCGTCGACTACGGCATCCAGCTTGCAAAGATGCCTGTTGTAAATTTAATTTAAAAAGTTAGAGGTTTTTGAACGGTTAGCAGCGAGGAAGTTTAGGGCCAGGCTCCTGAACCAATACAAAATGACGAGTATGCTGCGGCAAAGGAGTGCAAAATAATACTTTGCATGACCAATAGAACCGCTTAGTTGGAAATGGCGTATTTGTAGCTGATTTTTGTGTGCGCCATTTGTGTATGTGAAACGACCATTGTAAAAGAACTGCTCATGCACCTGCAGAACACACCGCAAAATACCCGTTTGCGCTAGCGTTACGTAATGCTTTTATGCAGAATATGGCAAGATTTGAAAACAAGTAAGTGTGCACTCACATGGTAATGAGATGCTAGGGTGCCTGAAACCAATAGAACGACGTTGAAACAAATACGCTAAATATGTTTAATTAATGCTACTCTGGTAGCTACACCAAGATAAACAGCGTTTCGTAATTACATGACTGATCGTCTGCTTACCACGTCTGAAGCCAGGAACGTTTTCTCGCTGGATTTCTTCACGAGAGAGACCACTCTGAAATGGTTATCAGAGGACGCAAGGAGAAGTAGCTGCTTCAGAAATAATTTATCTGATACAAGATGTTTGCTTTATAAATAGCTGTTCTGATATAAGATGGAAAAGTTAATTTGTCCAACGTGATGCCCAAGTCACTAACACTGCTCAAAAACTGATCTGCTTATGCAATACGGTTGCTCAAGAGATGTTTTAAGGAGCATTGTTACGCACAACCACTTGTCTGATTTGACTGCCAGTCCACCGGCAACCAAGGCGGGCAGCCCTGTGCGGAGATAGCCAGTCCTCAATCGTCGATGCAGCTTGGCATCATCCGCAAACATACTCAGGGGCGTATCTAGCCTGGATTTTTTTTGGGGGGGAGGGGGTAGCCGTTCGTCGCCAGCTGGCTGGCGTGGGATCCGAGGCCCAGTGCATGGTGCCTCTCGCGAGTTCCTAGTAGGGACACCATTCGAAACCGAAAAAAAATACCGAAATGCTTTTGAATCTTAAACAGAAGTTAAAACAAAACAGTTAAAACAGTTAAAGTTAAAACAGACGGTAAGTAGACGAAACTTTTATGTAGTTCTGGGAATGTTTTGGGGAGGCCAAAACATACTCTCATAGGTTTTTTTTTGGGGGGGGGGCAATGGCCCCGGGCCCCCCCCCCCCCAGGATCCGCCTATGAACACACTGCGGTCATTCAAAGTCACAGCCTTAGTGAGGTTGTCTACATAAGGGGGATTGCCGGTGGTCAGGAAGGGCCAAGAAGGTTTTTTATTTCTGTGGTCGCGTTTCGCCACTCTGATGATTTGCTATTTGCGACAATCCCTTACCCTTATCGGAGAGATAAAGGACGACGCAGGCAAATTTTGCCGGATATGGAGTAAGAATTTAAAGCTTGAAATCAGCAGCTTATGACTTCAGGCTGAAGGTCGGCTGAAAACTGTGTGTAGCAGCGTCCGTCGGAGAGTCTTCTGATATCGAGCACCAGGCTAGAGCTTGGATTGGTGCTGTACGAACGACGCTGGATAAGACCATGCTGTGCCTCACGCGGAACAGGGAACGCGTGATACATCAGTTCGACATTATCATCTCCGGCATCTTTCTTAACCGGTGTAGGCAGGAGAACAAAGCAAAAATTTGCGACGCCTTTCGCGTCACGACAGGTCGCGACGGCATGCCTATCGTTCTTTAAAAGAATGGGACAATATTGGGCAACTATCACCGTATTGAAAAGGTGTCCTGCCGTTTCCTTACACATGGTCATATAAAGATTGACGGGTTTTCAGACATGCGGCCCGGACCTCACCAACGACTTTGAGGACATCAAGCACACGACACTGAGCGAGCGCGCTGCCCTGCGGGAGGCAGAACGGTGCCTCAAGTGTGCAGATGCGCCGTGCCAGAAGTCCTGCCCCACCCAGCTGGACGTCAAGAGCTTCATCACCAGCATCAGCAACAAGGTAAACAGGCGGGCAGGTCCGAGGACTGCCCTCCTGCCAGCTCGCTGACCCGCTTCGGATCTGTTCTGGCACGGTGGGTCCCAGGTATAAGGGATGAACGCTTTTGGTGATCTCTTCTTGGTGCTAGCTACCCGCTGAGTTCGTTATGCACGCCTCAGACATAGTACTTGTTTGAGTAAACTATCACAAGCACCTGTTATGCAAGGATGGCAAAGAAAATTCGCGTAAATTCGCCAAAAGGAACACGGAACACCATTGTACTTGTCCCATCTCTCTAAGGGACAGGTCTGGTATGCTTCTTTTTCAACAGCAGGCTTCCCGTGCCCTAAAAACCGGTGATTCCGTGAATGTTTATCACAGGACATTTATCTTCCATGCATGATGTACGCGTGCAGAAAAGCGGTCGTGCAGTGTTTTGGTTGCCAAAATAGCTTTGCTACCTTCACGCCTTAAATGCCCATGTAGCGTTAATGCTTATGTTTAAAGTCATTAGTCCCAACCTCACAGCAGCCCTGCTCGCTTTTCCAGTCATCGTCGCCCCACCACGCCGTTCCACTGTCTTTGCGTGTTCACATCCTCAGGCTGTTGTTCTAGTGCCGGGCGCAGGCCAAATCACGTGGCTTCACCGCAGGCCGGGAGGGTCGTATTTGCAGGGGCGATGCCAAGATGCCGGTAGCCTGTCTCGCGGAGGGGGGGGGGGGTCTGAATCATGTCAAATGGCATTATTGCAGACGTTCCAAAAATGAAATGATTGAGAGACACATGAAATTGATGTTCCTATTGATACAGTTCAAATACATGTTGGATTATTGCCTAATTTTCCATATAATGCACGCTAGAGGCCAAAATGTTCCGAGCCCTAGTCATGACCATTTCAACTACATGCCGTTGTGGTTATCACCTGCGCATGTAATGCGGCCTCGTGGCGTTAGACTTGTTCCAAAAAACTAGAAGTACGTAGTATTCCCGTTTCTAGTTGTTGATTTCAGACTCCAATTCACCTCATGGGCGCTGGAACATTTTAAACATAGCAGAAATTTTTCTGCAATTTAGTGCTTTCCATTTGTTACAGCTCGCTGGACATCAGACCGATAGGTATATGCAATTTGAAGGCTGGTTGTTACGAGGATAATTTTCCCTTGAACGGATAGTTGAATGAAACACACGCCGAGCCTATGTCTGGAAATCTCGAAATTTCTGCGCACCTTCAGCAAGACACGTATCTGCTTGTCACGCCCCACACATGTTTTCTCACATTTGTTTTGTTTGGAGAAATGGCCAATACCTGGGTCGGCGTGAGTTATATACTGCACATCTCCGTTGCCGTTTTCCTATGACTTAATTGCGCCGCTGATACTTCGTGTTTTGTTCTTTCCCATTCAAAATCCGTGGCACCATCTGCCGGTCCTTTTGTGCCCACAATGCTAAACACAATGTGACGTGCCTTAATGAGTGTCGGCCCGCAAACGAGGCACCCCGACTCTCCGTGAAGCTTTGGCGTCGACAAACATAACAATCATCGCAATGGGTGTCCACGCCAGCGACTTCTGTGATGTAGACGGATTTGAGCCGTGCATAGACCGTGCATAGAGCGTTCCATTGGTCTTTATGAAGTATTTGACTACGCGGACGAAACTTGCAGTGAGAGGACAAAATTATGATCACAATGCTGTAGCAATCTTTGCGTGCCGGCCGCAGAGCCTTCTGACGGAAGTTGTGGGTCGGGTGACCGCGTGGATGGCCTGGCGCCGCCGACGTGTAAACATCGAGCATGAAAGGCCATGCAAGACAAACATACCCAGGGGTGGAGTTCACTACTATTTGTGTGTGTGGGGGGGGGGGGGAGGTCCTGGTCCTCAACATTTGGGAAAAATGTGGTCATCTTCGGAGTGAAAACCGCTTGGGGTATATTTACGGGCTGGTGTAGCTATTTTTCCTTGCTCTTAAGGTGCCCCCCAACTTATTTTGCGAAACTACGCCCCTGGGTCTGCCCATATGGAGTTTCACATCGCGCACGCTACGCTGTGGCCAGGCCCCACATCCCCCTCCCCTCCTCGCGGCCCCTGTCATGGTGCTGTCGTTTGGCAGCTGTGTTCTGTCAGCCTTCGACAGCCCCTCCTCCTCGCGTGGACGGAGAGAGGTCGCCGTGATCTGGCTCCTAGGAATGATGCGTCTTGACATGACAGAAATCATTGCACGGTAATCATTGACACCCAGAACTAATAGTACATCAGCGCTCAATCCTTAAAACATGTATGTTGTCCGGATCCGGGTAGTGCATTACTGTGATGGCCAGAGCATGGAAACATTTTACGCTTGGAGAGGAGTACGAGCTTCCTTTCGCGATCTGTCTTAATCGCATCAAGATACCGACAGAAAATGGAGAAGCCCAACCAGGGACGTAGTTTCCTGTGCAAGTAAATAGGCTCTAGCCTCCCCATCGCCCACCCTCCCCCAGCTTGGATTTCAGTCCACCAATTTTGGGGAGAAGGTGGGTTAAATCCGGGGTTTGTTGCCATTATTTCGGGGTAAGGTCAAATCCTTTTTAAAGTTCAGCCCCCCTCCCCCCAACACTCATTCTGCAAACTCACGCCCCTGATCCCAACTGTCGCATTGTGACAACCTACTAATTTTGTTCAGCTGTTGTAACGTGCCCTCTTGACCAAGCGCAGTCGCCATGTGTTCCCCATGTCACAGTTTCCTCTCGCTAAATGCCTGGCTGCTGCATTAGCGCTTGATATATTCTGCGGAAAGTGAACAGGAGCAGAATGTGGCCCGCGACAGAGTGGCTCTGCGACGCTCCGTTATGTAGCAGAGTGTGGCCCGCGACAGAGTGGTTCTATGGCGCTTTGTCACGTGACAGAATGTGACCTGCGACACTGTGACTCTCGAACGTTCCGTTACGTAACAGAATGTGACCTGCGACAGAGTGACTCCCGGACGTTCCGTCACGTCACGTGTGTTGTTGGTTCGCAGAACTTCTACGGCTCGGCGCGTCAGATCCTGTCGGACAATCCACTGGGGCTGACCTGCGGCATGGTGTGCCCGACCTCTGACCTGTGCGTCGGTGGCTGTAACCTGTACGCCACCGAGGAGGGTCCCATCAACATCGGTGGTCTGCAGCAGTTCGCCGTCGAGGTGCGTATGTGGGACCAAGACCGACCTCCGTTCCGGGTGTGCAGTCGGGACAGTAAGAGCTGCCTGTGACCGAGCTGGCCACTCAGTGCCGGTGAACGGGATGACAATTCTTCATATTAAAAATCAAGCCTATATCAAGCTTCTCCTTTTTCGGGTTATGACCTGTTGCGTTGAAAATAGCCTACCCCATATAACAAAACGTGCTTGAAGAGATATCGAGCACCCACTGGGGTATATGATATGAGAATACATACGGTGCAAGCAACGCTCATGGCTATGACTAGTAGTTCTCCCTTGAAACATAAAACAATCTCATAAGTAGCGACGATTATTTGGTATCTCCGTGTAAGAAGTACCCCTGACATAAAATAGGTTCAGAGTCTATTTAAAGAACATTTTTTGATCGAGGACTTGAACCAGTCGAATTCCGAGCTACATAGAAGCAAAACCGGAGTGTTTCGCCGGTTTTTCCGTCATGCCGACAGTAGCACACAGCATTCATTTTCCAATATCCACGAGAACACCACAAGGAAGGGCCAAAACACCGGCACAAGACGATATTTGGTTCCGCAAACATACTCTGGAAAACACCGCCACCTCTCGTTTCTTGCAGTACTACAAATGAGACAGCCCGCACACCACAGCGGCAATTCTAACACGGAGAGTCTAGGAGCGACTGTGATGTCATAAAGACTTCCATGGCGCAGTCAAACAATGAAATTGATTCATGGCGTTATCTGGATAAGCCTCTCGCACTTAAAAGCATACCAATAGTCACAAGTGACCTTACTGCATGATATCAGATGCCTCTCTCCATATATTGAAATGTGGAGCATTCTCTTTATTAAATCGCTGAATAAATCAGTGACTTCACGGGCGCCTAATAATGGGTCATTTTGACAGTGGTAATGGTGGCAAGCCTCGTGCTAGCTGTGCCAAGTTATGCAGCTGCTTTGTAGTAGCTCGCGGTATCAGTTATTGGTCTCGCATCGCAGTTTTTAGTGGCATTGTGCGAGGGTTATATGCTGTTCTACTCAGACCCCCTCCCCCGTCTCGCCTTCCTCGTCCCGCGCAGTGTCGAACGGTAAGCCTTAGTAACGACATTTGAAATGACAGAATTACTTTGCGTGATACATAATTTAGCTCATGAGTATGTATTGAGCAGCAACGAATCTCAGTACCCTCACAAACAGCATGACCTCAATAATTGGGTGGAGATCCCAACCACTCACCATGCCGTCACATCGCTGTTATATACCACCACATGCTCTCAGTACACGTCTGCCGGCCCACAGGTGTTCAAGCAGATGCAGCTGAGGCAAGTGCTGTCGCCGGAGGTGCTGCCGCCTGGCGAACGTCCCGAGAGTTTCTCGGCGCGCGTGGCGCTGCTCGGCTGCGGCCCAGCCTCCATCAGCTGCGCCACCTTTCTGGGGCGTCTCGGCTACACAGACATCACTATCTTCGAGAAGGAGCAGTACATCGGTGGCCTGAGGTCAGCTGAGGGCCGCCGACAGAGTGGCGGTGGCCTCACCTCCCGCTCTCATGGCCGGCACGCGGTACAGGCGATGCGACTATTGAGCGCAAACCACAGCAACGTAATGTCCTGCTTAAACACAAACCAATGACTGAGCTACAATAGCCATGTGTACAAAAGGATGACGTACGATGGTATAATCCGTCTGCCCGTGCTCGCACGCGTAAAGGGACAATCGGTTCCAAAATAGCACTTTCATGAAACAAATCCACGCCATGAAGCTACGAAGCTACGAAGCTGCCACGTGTTGTTTTGGTCGGAGTGTTCAATTAATCTAAAGAGGGGGTACCGGAGTGGACATTTGAGGCAGCCCGCTCTGTCCGTAACTCTGCGTTTGCGCGTCTGATGGGCTGAGACGACGAAACTATGCCCGGATATTCATTCTTCTCTGCGAACGGCGGGTTGGCTCAGTCTCCAGCTCTATTTTGGTACGAGATGTCACGGCGTCGGCCGCCTGCGGCGCGGTGAGAGGGACCAGGGTTCTTATCAGCTGTTGACGCATTGTTTTTTATGCATAGCTCGTCTGAGATCCCTCAATACCGGCTGCCCTATGACGTGGTCAGCTTCGAGATCGACCTGATGAAGGACCTCGGCGTCAAAATCGTGACCGGACGCTCGTTTAGTCAGCAGGATCTCACTCTGAAGGTATTGGCATGCACGACAGTGGAAACGGCTGGTTACATGCATGTATGGATACATGGGCACAGGCGGTTTTAGTGAAGAATCTGGGCTTTCGTAACACCAGATGACATCGCCCAATGCTGTGGCTGTATGTTTTTTTCTCTGAGCCGGTGGTTAGTCGCCCTACGTCAGAAATTTCCTCAGCTCGGAGGAGCTATTTTTAGACAAATCTATCCACGGACACAGATTAAAGACAGCACATAACAGCTGCAGAGTCCAGCTTGATGAAAATGGTTTCACGAGTGGTATGTGGTGCGAAGCCACAACCACCCATTATCTATATCGCACGAATCGCAGAGGTAAAGGAGTTAACGGATGCTTTCCTGTCCAGAGTCTGAAGGCGGACGGCTACGAGGCCGTTTTCCTAGGCATTGGACTGCCACAGCCGAAGAAGATCGCTATCTTCGAGAACCTGACGGAGGAGATGGGCTTCTACACCTCGAAGGACTTCCTACCTCGGGTGGCTGCCGCCAGCAAACCAGGTGAGTCTGGAGGTTCCGCTGTTGCGGCCTTAAACTGCTGCCGTCTTGATGAGAATTTACTTCAATAGGAATACGAACAGTTGGTAAGGCATGGTCTCGCTCATTACCATTTTTATCAATAAGAAGTGATGGACTGGTCACATTCGCATGATATCTTCGTCACTTGATCAAGTTATTTGGATGAATACACCGCCCACGATTTGTTATGTACGTGATTCTGTGTGAGTCATTGACTGTAGCGCCTCGTCGTCGTGCTTGTTGGGTGCATCGTGCGGTCAGCAAAAAGAGACCTTCCGTATTAGGAGCGTCACGCTGCCAGGAATGTAACGTTGCCATATATTTTATACTCATAGCACAACGCCAATAAGTCTGTGACGAGGCGCTAACCTGACCATGGGGTGACGGCGACTTGAACAGAGCCCAATGGCGACATGAATCGACCTGGTCATGATCTGGACATGGAAAGGCTCGATGGTAGATGGCGGTTTTCCTTCTGCGCTGCATGACGTTGGAATATACCGCGGAAAGAGATGAATTTTCCGAATATGAGCACATTCCAATGGAAGCATGAAGGGATGCTTGAGCGAGGCGAGGTGACAGCCATGCGTTGACGCCTTGTTGTCCCGTTGAGTACACTAGGATATAAATAGGATGTCCTATCCTAGGATAGGATATCCTGTTCCTAGGCACTAGGATATGAATAGGCACATTTTGCGGTGAGAACCTAATAAGTGGAACAGAATAAATGCATTGTCCGATCCCGATCTGTTCTTGCCCTTACATCTACCTGTCCTTGAGCTTAGACACAGCCGACCAGGATGTCACGTGACCTGAGCTGGCTATCCCACTGGGATGGCCGTAGCCTGATCTTGACCTGACCGTGGCCTGACCATGACTTGGCTGTGGCTTGCCTATGACCTGACCATGAGCTGACCGTGTCGCCTCAGGGATGTGTAGCTGCAAGTCGCAGCTGCCGCAACTCTCGGGTAACGTGGTGGTGCTGGGCGCCGGCGACACCGCCTTCGACTGTGCGACATCGGCGCTGCGTTGCGGCGCCAGGCGCGTCTTCGTCGTCTTCCGCAAAGGCTTCACCAACATCAGGGCCGTGCCGGAGGAGGTAGGCAGCCACGGCGCCCGCTACGTGGACACAGAGTTGCGCGTGCTGAATGTTATGATTACATACGAAGCGAATCTGGGTACGATCTCCGTTCAAAAGCATCCCACGATGATCACCTTGAGACTTTTGGTCTGTGGTTCCTGCTGCTAACAACAGGTGTCCAGGGGCAAAATGAAACATTCAATAATGGTGAATGAGACCTTTAGACGTGACACGGCCCATTAAAATATTCCGCCTTTGTTCGGCAGAAGATATGAAATCACTGAACAGGCCGCGCTGGATGTATCATGCAGACATGCTTCTCGTACAGTTGAGAAAGTGCTTAAGCTCCTGATTTCTTACAATGTTTCTAGCAAATGATGATGAATATCGTCCTCTGCCTTGCGCGGCTGGTGACCAGTGAACCAGTGGCAAGTGACCGGTGACAAGTGACCAGCGCCTCGGTGCGCCACCAGGTGGAGCTGGCACGCGAGGAGCGGTGCGAGTTCGTGCCGTTCATGGAGCCGCTACAGGTGGTGTTGCGCGACGGCCGGATCGCGGCGGCCGAGTTTTGTCGCGCAGAGCAGGATGAGACGGGCCGCTGGCTGGCCGATCCCGACCAGGTGAACCGTATCAAGTGCGACTACATTATCTCAGCCTTTGGCAGCGGCCTGACCGACGACAGTGGTGAGTGAGTCCCGGGAACCGGAGCTCAATGCTCGAGGCTCAGGGCTAAGGCTCTGGGCTCCGGGCTAAGGGAGCATGATTCGAAGCTTAGGGCTCGAGGTTCGAGGTTCGAGTCCCATAGATCATGGTTCGAGACTGAGGGCTCGAGGCTCAGGGCTCAGGACCCAGGGCTTAGCTAGGGCCGTCACCGGCTGCCTGGTTGGGAAAACTGTTTTCGTACATCGACGCTTTTAGACAGCCCGACGGTGGTGGTGATGTAGTCGGCCACTGATGTTGTTCTGCGTCGATGCCAACTTCGTTTTGCGTCATTGAGACTTTCTGAGATCAGCTATGATTCAGTAATGTGATGGAATGAAAGGCAGCGAGTTAAGCTGTGCAAATTTTGATAATCAATTCATCGATGTGAACTTGATCCATTAGTTTTATTCACGTAAGTTGTTAGTGTATTTGCGAGAAACATTATGCATATAGATAAGATAGTACTGTAAGCCGTAATGATCGTAAAATAACCGGAACAAATGAGAGATGGATGCATTGACATTTCGACTACATGCCTTCATCGAAATGAGAAAAAAACAACAACAAAAGACTGTGTCAACAGACAGTATATTCGTTTCGATAAAGGTATGTGGCCTAAATATCAATGCATCTGTTCGTCCTTTGTCTGGGTACATTCATTTCATTTGTTCAAAACGTAGTTTGTCTAACCACGGACGCAGCCAAAATTTTCTGAAAGTGGGTCAAGGAAGGAATGGAGCTCAAAGAGAAGCGCTTTATGCCGATTTTCAGCCCTGTCAGGAGCTTCTTAAGAAAACAAGAGAAAAATGTGAAAAAATTGGGCTCGAGAGCCCTTCCCCTCCCCTCTGCACCCGTGGTCTGACTGAGCTTTTCTTCGGAACTGCCACCGAAGCCGTGTGATGAGGCCGTCAGGGGCCAAATGTGTTACTTATGGACATTGTTCCCACTTTGCGCAAGAAACCTCAGACGGTGAAAAGGTGAATGATCTCGAGCTGAGTTGGCCTTCAAGCGGCTTCTCTAAGGGAAGCCTAGTTTTCCTGTAAGCGACGGTTTGTGAGCGCGGTCACTGGTGTCGATGGAAAAGCTTGTCCCCCTTCCACCCCCACCCCGCGTGCGCTGAGCGCTGCACCCGGTCTGCGGCCAGTGCTGGCGGCCATGGCGCCACTGAAGCTGACCAGCTGGGGCCTGCCGGAGGTGGACACCGTCACCATGGGTACCAGTGAGGAGGGGGTGTTCGCCGGCGGCGACCTGGCCGGCGTCGCCGAGACCACCGTCGAGTCCGTCAATGATGGCAAGACGGCCGCCTGGAGCATCCATAAGTACCTGCAGGTGAGCTGCGGAGCACACCGCCCGGTCTCTCTGGCCTGCCCAGCCGCCTGTCCGCATTGTGCGCCGGTTGATGGGGTCGGTGAAGATCTTTGATGGTGTGTAGCGATCGGGCAAAGTGTGTTCAAGTGGATCGAAATGACATCTTGGCATTCCAGTCATTCCACTACAAACACAGAAACGGGAGCATAACGTCGTTTGGCAGAATAAAAGTCAGAAAATTATGACGGGTGAGCTCTTTGAGATTGGCTAAGATTGGCAACAGAGCCTAGAACATAGGACATAGGGCAGAGACTAAGATTGGCAACACCACATAGGACACACAACTGTGTTTGATATATTTACGAATTAGTTCCAACCCAGTTCTTCTAATCCGTACAATGACCCCAAGACACACGATTCATATGGACTATGGCCAGGGTGGGTTTTATATTTCTTTGACAGCCACGTTCGTTTGCAACAATATATGCAACCCATTTGAAACTGGCAGCTCACGTGCCCACGATGGGGTCGGTCATTTGCAGGAATACTTCGTTCACATCCCCGAATTGAATGGCTGCATTCGTGACGTACCTTAAACTAGGCCAGATTTTTTTCATCGACGCAGTGCTTAAAATAATGCAGCAAGATTATTCAGCTGCAGTCAAAGCTCTCATGCGCAGGCCACAGCTGCCAACTTTTGCAATCAATTTGGCAAGTTTTCTTGGGCTTTTAATCATTCTTTATCTGAAAGCAAACCGCTGGTGGCCAAATTCGAAGAGAACTGCGTCCGTTTGGACGTGATAGGTCATTTGGTGTTAGGTTAGGTCAAGACTTACCCCCAAAACCGAGCAGTTGGATGCACCAATGGCACTGGTGAGCATGGACTTCAGCTGACTGTGACGCTGTCCCCCTCCCCCCCCCCCCCGCTAACCCCAGATTATTCCCATATAACCTCTTTCGGGAGGTGCTGCATTCCATGCCGATAGCCAACTGCGTCTCTCTGGCCGTCAGTCTCTGCACGGCATCCCGATTCCCGCCGAGCCGCGGCTGCCCAAGTTCTACACGGACGTGGATTCTGTGGACCTGAGTGTGGACATCTGTGGCCTGCGCTTCCCGAATCCGTTCGGTCTGGCGTCGGCACCGCCCACCACCTCAGCGCCCATGATAAGGCGCGCCTACCAGGCTGGCTGGGGCTTCAACGTCACCAAGACGTTCTCCCTCGACAAGGTGTGTGAGCAGCGACTGGCTCGTGGAATCGCTTGTGTAAAATATTTCCTTTTGTGATTGATGTCTTTGATGGCTTTCTTTTTCGGTGTATCTCAAAACCACTTACAAAGATATCGTTGCAACTCTGGATCTTCCGGGCATCCTTACGAGATCCAAGAGGGTTTTACCAGACTGATGCGCCTTTTTCTGGGCGTCAGGATCCGGTCTGAGTCGAGTTTGTTTTGCTCCGGTTGCAGCCGTCGGTCGCTACAGCTGTAGTGTTGTGCCTTGGAATACATAGTCCTCTAGGTAAACTGCGCTGGACCATGCCCGAGCGGGCCTGACGCGCACCCACCGCTCACCACGCTGGCAGGACCTGGTGACGAACGTGTCGCCGCGGATCGTGCGCGGCACCACGTCGGGACACACGTTCGGGCCGGGCCAGAGCTCCTTCCTCAACATCGAGCTCATCTCTGAGAAGACATGCGAGTACTGGTGCCGCAGCATCACCGAGCTGAAGCACGACTTCCCCGACCAGGCGAGGCCTCGTGGGCGGTACAGAGGCGGTGGAACGAGTAGCTGTTCAAGTCTGTGAGGCATGGGTTAATCATGCAGCGCCGAAGATCGCAGTGCATTAGAATGAAGTCGTGATAGGCCGGCGGGTGGTGCGTGATGAGAAGGTTGTACGCCTAGGGAACGATCCACCAGTTCACATTTTGCAACAGCAGAATGGCCACGCGGTCGATGCGCTCCTAACCATCAAACTTTGCGACAATCCACACGGTGATGCTATTAACGTCATTAGGCTCCTACCTTCTGGTGTTTTGAAGGCCGATAACTCAGGATAAGAACCCTGAACTCACAAATCCGAATAGTCAGGACCTGAAGGCTTAGCATTCTAACATTAAGTACAGCTGTGCTGTGCTAGTGACCTTGGACTGATTGGTCCTGCTCCACGAGATCGTTCGGATGACTGGACTGATCTCGCCCTGAACAGATCCTGATCGCCAGCATTATGTGCGGCTACAGTGAGGAGGACTGGACGAAGCTGGCCAAGATGGCCGAGGCGGCGGGCGCCGACGCGCTGGAGCTGAACCTCTCCTGCCCCCACGGCATGGGGGAGCGGGGCATGGGGCTGGCCTGCGGGCAGGTTAGTCTCCGCCAGCTGGTGACGGCGGTGCTGTAAGTTTCGATGGGGAAGGGTAAGCTAGGGCTGTGCTGGCCTGGGATAAGGGCAGCGTCAGTTATTCTCCTGGCTGAAATTTCCCTGCTGGCATGATGAGAGAAACAATGGAAATCCTTTGGCAAGACAGCCGTCAGTGGTGGTCTTCATTGGCGGCGTGGACTGTGCTGAGGTATTATCACACGAGTTTGGCTAGGCACATCAGGTTGTGGTGCAAAACAAGGAGAGTCCCCAACGTAGTTTCCTTGACGATGAACTAACCCCGTCCAATGCATTGTTATGTGTGCATGAGGTCTCCAACGAGAGTTCATTGACGAACTAGTTTGAGCAAATGTCCCTACCGTTCCGACCGTTTTACCCGTGTCTGTTGCCGTTGTTCGTTGACAGGACACGGAGCTGGTGCGTGGCATCTGCCAGTGGGTTCGGGCTGCTGTCAAGATCCCCTTCTTCGCCAAGCTCACTCCCAATGTGACCAACATCGTTGACATCGCGAAGGCTGCAAAAGAAGGTGGGTCCAAAGAACCTCTTCATTGCTACACTGGGGTCGAGTCCGAGCCGTGTCGTGACCCATGTACGTACCAACGCGTACGTCCTTTCCGCGTGAGCCGCGACTCTTGTCTGTATAGCCCCAGCTGTTGTTGCCTCATCAGCTCATTGTGGTGTCGTTGGTGACCGGGACCCGATTGTTCGCTGACCCAAACCCACCGGCCTCAGGTCAGGCCGACGGCGTGACGGCCACCAACACCGTGTCCGGCCTGATGATGCTCAAGTCGAACGCGGTGGCGTGGCCAGCGGTCGGCCACGAGACCAAGACCACGTACGGCGGCGTCTCGGGCAACGCCATACGACCGATCGCGCTGCGCGCCGTGTCGGCCATCGCGCGCGCCCTGCCCGGCTTCCCGATCCTGGCCACCGGCGGCATTAACTCGGCCGAGGCCGGCCTGCAGTTCCTGCACGCCGGGGCTTCGGCGCTGCAGGTGATGGTCGTTGGTGGTTCCTCCACCAGGTCGGGCGTGGTCGACAGATCTTGGAGGGCTCTGGCGCTGCATCAGATCGGTGATCGCTGTCGACGACCGGCGCTGCTGGCGCCTGGTCACGAGCCCAGTCGTGCTGCGGCGTCCAAGAGGCTTTGCTTGATGCACTGCTGCGGCCATTGGATGTGGTCATCTGATTGCACTAACCATTCAAGATATGCCGCAGGATGAAAAAGTGTCCACGCATATGCGTACATGTTCGTAGGCGTGCTCGTTGTGAACGCGCGTGCGTGCCTGCGCACGTACGTGTCTGCATGCCTGCCTGTGCGAGGATGTGAAAGAGGGCAGGAGTTGGGCGACTTAAGATATTTGGGTGCGGGAGCGCTTCGACTGCAGCGATCATTTTGAGCCCGTGCAGAACTTCGGAATGTGACAATAGTATGGCGCGTTTCGGTGTTGTGAGTTTGATCGCCCTGAGTATATTCCACTCGTCCGAGTATCGTCCTGAGTATATTCCACTCGTCCGAGTATCGCCCTGAGTATATTCCACTCGTCCGAGTATCGCCCTGAGTATATTCCACTCGTCCGACCCAGCCGGCAGGTACTTTCACCAGTCGGCTGGTGCTACTGCTAGTGCTGGGGCCTGATGTTGGTGCTCTTAATGTTGATGTCAATTGGGTTGACGTGGCTGTTAGTGCTGCCGTGAAAATGAAGATGGTCATGACTGATTGCAGTGACGCTGAAGCTGATATGTCGCGCGGGTGTGCAGTGACGATGTCCATGATGGCGATTGCAGTGACGCTGAAGCTGATCTGTCGCTCAGGTGTGCAGTGACGATGGCCATGGCAGTGATTACAGTGACGCTGAAGCTGATCTGTCGCTCAGGTGTGCAGTGACGATGGCCATGATGGCGATTGCAGTGACGCTGAAGCTGATCTGTCGCTCAGGTGTGCAGTGACGATGGCCATGGCAGTGATTACAGTGACGCTGAAGCTGCTCTGCGTGCAGGTGTGCAGTGCCGTGCAGAACCAGGACTTCACGCTGATCGACGACTTCTGCTCGGGCCTGCGGGCGCTGCTCTACCTGCAGACAATGCCCAACACAGACGACTGGGACGGTCAGAGTCCGCCCACGCCCAGACACCAGCTCGGCAAGCCGGTGCCCGGCATCAAGCAGATCATAGGCAAGGTGCGGCGACCGCTGCAGGCTGTGATGTCGCTGGTCATTCGCTGTATGTTAGGGTTGATGATGAGCTGACTGTTGGCAGGGATCCCCATCTGTCACGTTGGGGTTGATGATGAATTGACTCTTCGGCGGTGGATCCCCATCTGTCACGCTGGGGTTGATGATGAACTGACTTGTCGGCAGTGGATCCCCATCTGTCACGCTGGGGTTGATGATGAACTGACTTGTCGGCAGTGGATCCCCATCTGTCACGTTGGGGTTGATGATGAACTGACTTGTCGGCAGTGGGTCCCCATCTGTCACGTTGTGCGGTGGTGTGGGAGCTGTTCACCCCAACCTCTACCTCAACTGCCAACTTACTCGGTCTCTGCCTGATCTGGAGACCAATGGCGTGTTTTGACGTATTTTATATGATACGCGTGTAGGAATATTTTGACGCCGAATACAGTCATTTTTTACCTCCTCGTTTGCGATCTCGTTGTAGCATTGGAGCGAAAATGCGACTAACAAAGGTCCTAGCCGTCACGGGTGTCTAGACTCCCATCAGTGGGCGGTGATCAGTGCTATGGTCCGCCGCCGACAGGATCTGGCTAACTTCGGGCCGTACAAGGAGGAGCGTGACCGGGTGCTGGCGGAGCAGCACAAGGCCGCTGACCTGCTGGCGCGGCAACCGCCAGCCCGGCAGGTGGTGAAGCCGACCATGTCCGTGCCGTCGGTGGCAGATACCATCGGGCGCGCTCTGCCCATGATTGGCGCCTACAACGAGCTCTCCAACCAGGAGCACAAGGTGGCGCTCATCGACAAGGTGAAGTGGCCGAGCTGGGGACGAGTCCCAAAACCGTCAGGCACGAAACGCATTAAAATCGGCAATCGTAAGGTAAAACCTTGTACAGAGTTTCGAGGCGTTGACTCGAATGTACCTCAACTGCAGCGTAGTATATTTGCAGCTTGTATAATGTCTGAGTAAGGTGGCATCGCCATGGCAAAATATCGTAAGAGATCAAAGTCCAGATACGTAAGGGATATCAGCCAGGTCTTCAGGGAGGCACTAGGCACCCCCAGGGTGATATCGCACACCGCTACCCACCAGAGCCATCTATAATTGCCGGTCTTTTATGTGTTCACTAATGCTCCGTCGATCAGGACATGTGCATCAACTGCGGGAAGTGCTACATGGTCTGCAATGACTCGGGCTACCAGGCTATCGAGCTAGACCGGAAGACGCACCTGCCGCTGGTCAACAGCGACTGCACCGGCTGCACCCTCTGCGTCTCCGTCTGCCCCATCATCGACTGCATCAAGTGAGCGTGCCGCCCCGAAGCCCTGGGTTAGTCCCTAACAGCAGTCCGCCAGTCCCCCAGGTCCAGCGTACGCACGTACGCTGTCCAGCGAACGTAACATGACGTTCCGGCCAGATGTGGCTTCAAATCATACCGAAATCTTCAGAAATAACTTGAACTTTCAAAGCCAGATACTTCTAGCTCTCTCCCATAACAACAGACACACCCTTTATTTATTCAGTATCTTTAGCTCCATGAGCTATGAAACAGACATTGCTTTCAGGGATGTCTGCTCAGCGTATGCAGCGCGCAAGGAGGAAGAGGGGCGAAGGATGGCCAGAAATGTGTAATGCGTAAATGCGTCAAAATAGCGTAACGTATTTTGTCTCAGGATATGCGGGATGCTAGTTGGGGTTCGTGGTACACAATTCGTAGCATGCCATTGTCTAGCCTAATGCTTGGTATCGGTCAATGCCACCTCCCGGCATTGCCACATCTGGTCTTGTGTACACACGACTATTCACACGTTACTCCTTGAAACGAGTGTTTCACATTTCTATGGAGTTTTGCGCTGAAATACCATTCATTCCTTTTAACGGAGGACTTCGTATGATGGTGTGCGGTAATGTGGCAGTTAGAATTATTTATTATTTCGACACATTTTCCACAAAATTGAAGCATGTTACAAATTTACATGTCTTGGCTTTTAAAATGTCCTTGTTTTGTTGCAATGAGTAGCCCTGCTCCTTACCAGGCAAAATTCATTCGGCCAAAGATTCCTTTTAACGGAGGACTTCGTATGATGGTGTGGGGTAATGTGACAGTTAGAATTATTTATTATTTCGACACATTTTCCACAAAATTGAAGCATGTTACAAATTTACATGTCTTGGCTTTTAAAATGTCCTTGTTTTGTTGCAATAAGTAGCCCTGCTCCTTACCAGGCAAACGCACAGCTTGCAGCGATAAGTTTTAACAACAGAATCATTGTTTGATTGCAAATATCTCCTAGCGCACGCTAGGGTGCGCGGTTAACTTGGTCTCCAGCATTGCTTTTTCTGAGAATAACTCCCAGCGGCGTGGTGTGGTGACGCCAAACTTTTTGTACAGCTGTAGACAAATGAATAACGTACCTTAGGTGTCAGAATTGCATTTACCTCTCAAGGTCGCTAAACTGCGTCTGGTCAAATTTAGGCCATGGTTGCCAGCAGCAAAGACATTTCACAGGGAATCTTTCCAGCTGAAGCGACAACTGAAGAATGGCCAATGTCGTACAATTTGGGATGGCTCTTTAGAGAAGTAAACAATTTAACTTGGTTTGTAAGCAGATCCGTTGATAGGTAGAATAGATAACCAGAAGAAGGCAATACAGACGTGAAGGCCAGATCAAGGTCAAAACTAAGCAGCAGATTTACTGGAAAACTTGCTTTACGTGACAATTCAGGCGCCCTAGATTAAAGCTGTTATGTGAGGAGGTCTGAGAGCGTTCCGGACACCGAACTGGCGTTTAAGCTTGTCTGACCTTATTTGACCCGAAGGAAATTTGAAGACCCAAAAACTTGCCGTTAGTTAGTTCATCTAGAGGCTCCTTGCGAGTTCCTGTCCCTAGCTCTGAGTTTTGTCTCGGAAAAGGGGGGCCAAGGCCACCTTCCTCCCCCCCCCCCTCACCCCCACTCGAACTTGTCGCATTCAACTAGCCACCCGGGAGCGTGCTTACCAGTGCGTCCTGGGCTATACTGAAAGCGGGTAAATGTCAATATAAGCACTTCGTACTGCTGAAACTCGTAATGCCGAAAAGACAGAAACTCAAGACGTTTCACAATATCAAGCGCTCGTATTTTCGCAGGCCAACTGCCGTTGCATCAGCGAAAGCTAACACTCAGCAGCTGTTATCGCTGCGCTACACTGAGGTTCCAGGTGCCGGCTCTGAGAGACGGAAAACTTTTACAGGAACCACTCCAGGTGGAATCGTCATGCTTGACGCTCGTCTCGGAAAACTAAGCTTTCTGCTACTGGTTACCGCGATCACATTTCTGTGCCAGTTTTCCAGTTTGTTTGCCCTGCGTCCTTTGTGCGTTGCCTGGTCCCCAGCGACTAGCCTGCCAAGGCTCTGATAACAAGCATGCCAGTTTTCCAGTGGTCAGTTAGCAGCACTGCACTGAGCTGTCGGCTTTCTCCAAGCCATAGTCATCATCATCATCGACACCGCCTCCAGTGACGAATCTCTCGCCCCTTGCCCACAGGATGGTGCAGAGGGACACGCCTTATGAGCCCAAGCGAGGCATGCCCGTGTCGGCATGAAGTAAGTGGCAAGCAGCTGATGTGAAGTAACTGACAACCAGCCGACGTGAAACAACAGGCAACCAGCCGACGTGGGAGACGTCTGCCGATTTCTCCACCGGCCAGACGGTTGTCCGGGCTTAGAAACGCTCCAGCCGATCATGATTTGTACCGTTGCACCAGCGTGTGGTAACTTCTAAGTTTGCGCAGTTGCAAATATGTAACTGGAGAAAAACTGGAAATAAGTAAGATGGGGTGTTTGGTAAACATCATAGACTCGGTAGCTTGTATATATGCACTACTATGGGGTAACGTTTAGCTTGTCCATGTGTTCTGAGGGTGGAAGCCAATAAGTGAGTCGTTTCTCTGACGGTCCCCTGCAGGCGACTTGGATACAGCTTACACTGCGGGAACACAGGTTACGCTCCTTAAGAGATTTGGACAGATGGCGCGACCAATGGGAAGTTCGGGGCAGTGAAGCCAGCTGGTCAGCCGCCGAGAAACAGCGACAAACCGCACGATCCCTATTCGCTGGTGACGTCAGGGGATCGCTGGTGACGTCATATGATCGCTGGTGACGTCAGGTGATCGCTGATGACGGCAGGTGGTTGCTGATCATGCACCGGGTGATGGATACCATTTATGCATGAGGTTGTGGGTGTCGGTGCGGTGCAATATACACTCTAGGTGATGGAATGTGTGTTTCTATGAAGCGACCACTGGCCGAGGAGGCGTGATGTCTCGACTCCCTGCCACCAGACCAATGGGCTCTCCTGTCACCTTTTCGCGTCAAGTGAAAGGCAAATGTTTGCCCATCAGGGGTGCACCTAGGTACACCATAATTGGCTGGCATAGGCTACGTGAATATGTCGGGGATTGCCGTAGACTGATGCACAACGCAAGTATCAAATAAAATACGTTACTCCTCCCCGCGTTACAAGGCGCATCAATGTCCCTTCGAATAGGCCATCCCACGCGGTTTAATTATGGTATCACCTCGCTCCGCTTATCATGAACAGCTGCTGACCTATCTTAACATGTCAACGGGGGAGGGGGGAGGGGACGGCAAATCAAATTTGACTGCAGCCAAATTGCCCACCAGTGACCGCGACATCTCCGCCCCCACCAGTATATCACGAAATGCCCTCCAGAGAAAGCCTCGTTTCGCCGGCAGCCTTGCGCCACCATGTTAGTTCAGACAGACTGAGGAAACGGACCGCAGAGTCACGGCGCATGCGTGTTTCCTGTATGGGGCCAAACATCCTAAGGCGTGGCAGCTGTTCTTAGATAAGTTAAGGAGGAAGTGGAAATAAGTGTAGAACCGTTTTTAAAACATCGGACAGGCTTCGACTTCTGTCTTATCGAATTTGATTGGCGTGGATAAGTGCCGAAATTCGGGCAAGGATACGACTAACAGGTGCTTTTCAAAACTGTGGCGATTCTGCTGTGTCCCATTCTACTTGGTTTGGTTTCATGAACAGCGGCTACCGCAAGCAAAAAAAAAAAAACAAACAAACAAAAAGCGGGCAACGCAACATTGTGGCATATCTAGTTGGGGGGTCAACGCAGAGGCATAGCTCCATACATGGCGGACGCGACAGTACGCAAATGACATCTTGTTGCGAGTGGGATCTGTCCCACCGCCCTGAGATCAGTCGGCCTTGGGTCAGGCTGCTTCCGGTGACGTAGAATCGGCTGATGAGTTTTGGAGACAAAGGGTCCTGTTTAGGGGCATCGTTTCCTTATCAGTTGAGGGCTTCAGCCCCCCTCCCCCCTCTCTCCCCTCCTCTTCACCTGGGCTTCAACTCCCTCCCTTACTTTGATATATGTAGCGAAATCCGGGGATAAACCCGTTTAATGTCGTATTTAGGATTGTTTTCATAACTGTCAAGATTTAGCCCCTCTCCTCTTCCCCCTCCCCAAAACTAACTGCGAGACTATGCCCTGCCCCTGTTGATCGCTGTCGACCCCCGACCGACAAGAGGCTCCTAATTAGGGCCCCTTGACGCGAAAGGCACTGGACACTGCGAAACTAAGGGGTGCTGCGAAACTATGCCCTGTCCCTGTTTATTGCTGTGGACCCCTGGCCGACACGGGGCCCCCTAATCACTTCAGGGATACAACAAATACAAATTGCGGCCGGGACCTCGTTTCTGATCGGGAAATGGGTCTCCAGGGCTTTATACGACGCGGAGCCAACTGTTCAGCATTGTTAGCCTCTGACATAAATAGAGGCACGCATTGTCCCAGGCGACCGCAATGGGTGCAAGAAGCCCTCTGACTGAAATCTGAGATCACGTTACCGGAGGCCGGGATCTTTAACGTGACCCACAGCCAGCCCTTCAGCCGTTTGGGCTCTTCAGCCCTCTAATCGGGCCCTTAATCGTCGTTCCGGAAGGGCCCATTGGACAAGTGGACAAGTTTGTTCGGGTCCCCTCGAGCACTGCCCCTGGCCGACTTGGGCCCTTTCTAACACAGGTGCCCTGTTGGCACTGTGGGCCCCGTCCGACACAGGTGCCCCGCATTGGCTCAGAGGCCCCGAACACTGCAAGTCGCGGGTCTCAGCCTTGTCCCTGCTTGGGGATTGGACCCACAGGCGCAGACCGACAGAGAGCCGACTGCTCGGTACTAGTGGCGCCTGGCTGATACAGAGGCCCTCATCGACTAAGAGTCCAATCGGCTCTAAGGACCCCTGAGTGGAATTTGAGGACCTGGTCCGCGGGGCAGCGACCCTTAACGCAACCTCCGGCCAGCACCTCGAGCTTTCAAATCGGGCACTTAAAACGTCGGTCCGGCCCTTCGTCGAAGCAGAAGATAAAATCGTAACTCATTAAATCATCATACCGGGTCAAAGGGCTCTTCGGGCCCTTCGGAATCTGAATGTGTTGGGGGGGGGGGGGGGGGCAAGCACTCCCTTTGCTCCCTTTCCCCACCGTGCCACTGCTCGGGGGTCCCGGCCGCTCCCCGGGACAAGTGTTCTTCACTGGATGTGGAGCGGTTTCAATGAAAAATTGAGTGTGAACAACTTTGACAGTTGGCCTCTCCCTGAGGAAAATCATAGCGACGTGACACGCGTATGCCATGAGTCGTTATTCCCCATAGACCCAGGGACAGCGCCGTCTGCCACCGAGGGCCGGTATGGTATCCGTATTGAATCTAAAATCCAAGCGCATTGTAAAGTCACCGGGCTGTCGTGCACTGGCGCGTCGGAGCTGAGCCCATGGATAGCCCAAAACTGTTAACAATACGGCAACACAAGTGCCAAGCACAATTCAATAAGAATATAATACATTACACGCGCCAAATGCTAGAACAAAAAAAAGGATCTCTATGGCGCCGGGAATGCATGGATCGAGTGGAGGCCACGTTTACAAAAGTACATGCAACAAAACAAAGTCAACTTTGATAATTTTAAAGTAGAACTTGAACGACATCCCATCTGGCTTGCTCCCCGTCCCCCCCCCCCCCCAGCCCCTCTTATTGGAACGTTTGTACGCCTTTGGGTTTGAATAAAATCGGTACAATAGCTCCTGAGCTCTGGCTTAACTGCAGGGCTGTTAACTATTGTAAATGATTGGAGGGGCCAAGCCGAGGACCCGACGACTACCCCTCCCCCTGCAATTTGTTCTCCCCAAGCGATTCAGGTCAATTTCTTTTGACGGAAGACAATTTATAATTTCAGTTGTTACATCGTTTCAAAAATAGTGTTTAATTTGGGCGGTGTAGTAGTCATGCAAAGGTGAATCCAGAGAAAGGGGGAGCAGATCACCGAAGGCACGTGCCACGTCTGATCAGAGAGTCCAGGCGCCCCTCGAGTCCGCCTTAGCATGTCAAAGGTACTCACCTACGGTGGACATGGGTGGCGGCACGTATTTTTGGTTGTGGGAGAAGGGGACGGAGTAAGTCATGCAAGACAGATAATTATCGTGTTCTAAAGCTTTTCAGGTTAACCTTCCAATCCTTTGCGTTCCTCAAAGTTCCAGTTGTTAAGTTGACTGCATTTTTATCGGCATTGCTGTTACGATTTGCAGCCAGCGGTGAGGGCGAACACGACTTCTTACGAGGAAGGGGTGTACTGGTGTTCATAGGTGCACCGTTCTGTGCGACAAACCTACCGATATGCTACGTTTCTATGGGACGGTAAGCATCCGGCTGCACCGATAGATCCAGCTGTGGAGATTGGGGGGGGGGGCAAATTAAAGAGCCTACTCCAATTTTTTCATTGAGATTAGGCCTCAGCACCGCTTCCCCCTGTATAGAGGAGGGCTGCTTTAATTAAGTTACAATGCTTACGTGACACGCTAGTGGCGCCTCAAAATTTTGGTTTGAATTTGGCGTCTTGCCGCGTTTGTAAATTCAACTACGTCGTTGCATCAACAACGGTAATCAAGCACATAATTATGTTCAACAGTGCTCAACAATACTCAACCATGTTCAACCATTCATACTGAGAAATTCAAGTAGACTGATAGTTGTACCTGATTGAGGCTAAAAGCAAACTGCTGTGAAAAGTTGCATAAAAGTGGGCCATAAAAAAATGAGGGTGATGGCGGAAGCGCATTTTGGTAGAGCTCTGAAGTTATACTGGACGCATTCGTGATGTGCCAAGAGGCGTGATGGCGGGTTCGCCTTTGAGAAGTGTTGGTAAATTTATATTTTAAGAGAACCATTGGGCCGTTGGCCTCATGGTACCAGGCTGGTTACATGGCGGCCGAGAGCCACGCAGTCGCATGGTAGGTACGGTAAAAGTTCGGTTGTGCTGTTTAGAGAATGGTCCGAAGCAAAATGGGTCTTTGAACATTGATGGCAATACTTTGATGGTGGTTTAGAGCGCTAACAATAGCTTGTAGTCTGCACAAAATCCTTTAATCAGGAATGTGAATTCAGCCTATAAATCGCCCCAGCCAAACTTTCGTTCACTGTATTGCTTCTCATTTTGGACTGGGCCTATCATCTGAACTGGCAGATGGGTATCAGTAAACTACCAGTAAAGATTCCGCACAATAAGTGTGCGATATGATCGCAAGTGACGCAACGAGGTATCGACGTCACCGCTCCCTCCACATAAACTTCTATTTATGCATATCCCAAGCCCGCAGGCACACGACTTGCCCCGCTTCCTGGCCGCTGTTCCGCTGTTGCATTTTCCAAAACGTCAAACAATGCGGAGCAATGGAAATATCAGAGACAGCACCGATGACACAGCGCCCGACGACAGTCTAATGGCGCCAGAAATGGCGGCCCAACGCTCAGCAAACCGTTATAAGCACGTCATGTTCCGCAATAAATATAGCACATTAAGCTACCGCATTTATTGAGCCCTTTTATGCCTGTTGCATTTTTGCCCTAAAAACAAAATTGTCCAAATACGGTAGCATTGGTTCATTATTATCTATTGATGACATGACACGGAGCAAAGGTAATCTTCGCGGTCGCCATGTATGAATATGGCAATGTTGCCCAGATGGCCCAGGGGAATGGTGGAAATATACGCCTTACCGGCGTCACGAACTGTGAGCGATAATGGACCGGCATGGTAGCCTCGACCACGGCCAGGACCACCATCGTAGTACAATCTTACCAGCCGAGGGCTACAAGGACATCGTACATACATCGTCAAAGTTGTTTGTGCATGCCACCGATAACTGCCGATGCAGCCTTAATGTGAGCTTGGCCGCGCATATACCACCCACGTA